AAGTATTCAATCAGTTCAATTTGAGGCGTATATACTTGGCAAAACCTTTTTTATTTTTATTTTTTTTCTGTAGCAATCTCATAATCTCATTAGACAGATGAAATACAGACATAAAATGCTAAGGCCACATTACCATAAGTGCCAAAAAGTGTGATCCAGACAGTGCCATAGAAGGCATGAGTGCTACAGAAGATTAATACGATTATCTTTAGGTATGTCTTTTAAAGAATACAGATGTAGTACAGTGGTTCTCAAAGTGCAGACCCTAGACCAGTGGCATCAGCATCACCTGGGGATTTGTTAGAAATGCAAATTCTTGAGCCCCACCTTCAACCTACTGAGTCAGAACTTGTGGGGATGGGGCCCAACGACCCGTGTGGGAGCAAGCCTTCCAGGTGATTCTGGGAACCACGAGTATCCTGGATGCTGGGTTGGTGGCCATGTTGCAGTATCGTGGTGGGTGGTACTCAGTTAAGTTCCTCCCCAGGAGTTGCCATCATCAGAAGAAAGCCCCTTGCCCAAGGAAGGTCTGTCTCCTTCCCAGGAGCCTGCATCCAGTGACAGCAGTGTGGAGGAGGTAATGAGGCCTGGCCCCCTTGCTTCAAGGCAAGACGACTCTGAAGGGTTATCCTAGCTCCTGGCTCCCTGTGGGACCTTCTGAGGCCTTTGCTGCATTACCTTGGAGTTCAGTTTCTCTTTAGTGAAGCTTCTCTATAAACCATCACCTAAACCTTCAAGGCTGGTACTCAATACAAGATGGCACTCCTACTTAAAACTTCAGAATGATGGCCAGGGTCGAATGAGCAGGAATATATCCAGGGAGGGTACCTCAGGATATTTACATTTTTAACTATTTTCAACTGTCCTTCTATTTCTGTATAAAGGTTCATGTTGCCTGGATCATCATTAATGTAGATAAAATCCTTGAAGAGCTAATTCAAAGCCCACCTTCTATACAAGACTTCCCTTAAGTCTTGGCTTAGAAGACTGGCTTATCCTCATCTCCCACTTTCGTAAACTTTTAGGACTGTTAATGGAATGTAACTGCATGCCCTCTGTATGTTCTAAATGTCTTTATATGCAAATATTATTTTGATAATTAGGTCTTAAACGGCTAGGGCAATGGTGCTCAAACTGCATATGCATAAAACCACTTAGAAGGCTTGCCAAAGCGCAGATTGCTGGGCCCCACTCCCCGGGTTCCTGATTCAGAAGGTTGGAAGAGGAGTCTGAGGATATACATCTCCAAGAAGCCCCCAGGTGATACTGACACTGCCGGTCAGGGGGCCACACTTGTTAACCACTGAACACACAGTGTTCACATCACAGTAATTTCTACTTTTTGTATAATGACATGATATATGGAGTCATGCACTTCTCTCTCTCCCCCTCTCTCTCCCCCACTCCCATTCTCTTTTTGCCAAACCTGCTGCCACTACTCTAATCTAGCTCTTCACCCCACGTCTTCTTTTCTCTTGGAATGCCCTCTGTTTACTTTCTAGTGAATTCTTTCTCATATTACAATTTCCAGTTTAAGTGTTACCTATGAGAAGCTTTTTCTGATCTCTTAGTTGTAAGTAATGCCGTCTAGACCTGTGACTTTGTATATTCTCCCATTCTAATAATGATCGCTTTCTCCTGGAATTGCTGGTGTGCATGGGCGTTTTGCTGACTACACCATGATCTCTTCAAAGGAAGAAACCATACCTTAGTCTTCTCTGCAGTGTCAGCACCGGCATGTGTGCTCAGAACTATTTACTAAAGAACTGAACAAGTTGACTTCATATCTGGAGACATGTCAAACTTTCCTATCAACAGTTCTCCCCAACTTTAGGCTATCTCATTTCTGATTCAGGCCATCCATAGTTACCAGTTTAATTTTCCTAAAACTCCAGATTGCATCCCCTTCTACTCCAAAATTATACTGACTCCTAAGAGTCTAAGATCAGGCTCTTTGTAATCTGGCTTTTACTGATGGCTCCAATATTATCTCCTCTTATTCTCTGTTCCAGCCAAGATATGATACTCATGTCCACTGAACACATCACATATCCGACTGGCAGAAATTTGTAAAGCTCTGCTCTTTTTTTCCTCCCCAAAGACATATTTAAAATTCCTCCACTCTACTTAGCTCTCACAGCATTCATTATTTACAGCTCTTATTCAGCACTTAATATCAGCTCTTAAAAATGCTCTCTTATTTATGTATATTTCATTTACCCATCCAGTTGTAAGTGCTCTGCGTTCCTAGTTCCAATTTTATACTTCTTTTTACCCCACTGTTTACAACAGACAGGCTTTAATGTTTAGTTACAATCACTGTAAAGAAGAAGCCTAATAAATTCTTTTAAAAAAGAGCCAGTGGCCTCTATACTCTTTATGTCATCAAGTAAAACAGACCCCAATGATTCAAAAGAGAGTAGAATGGCACTTAAATATCCCTTATGACCTGCATGCTCTGGCTTAGAAACCCAAAGACTGTCTCAAACAGAAACACACACACACACACACACACACACACACACACACACGTGTCTGTATCGCTCAGGTGTAGCTTTCAGAAGGGATCACAATGTTATCTCTATCCAGACTGCAATCTTTCCAAGTTTGACAGAGAAAGAACCTCCCAGAAAGCAAAAGGCGTGTAGTGGGCAATGGTTATAGGTGATACTGTACCATACTGTGGGAAGTACATCTGACATCAGTAAAATGTAGTGGGAAAGGATGGAGACTAGAAGAGTCCTTTAAAAAATGAACTAGACCATATTCCAACCAGAAAGACAGCAAGGATCCCATCTTAGAATAGCAGGACAGCTTAATATGAATGCCAGCTCGAATGGAAACTGAGTTGTGAGTGAGGTTTAGCCCCTATTCTTCCAGTTTTACATACAACAGCTCCAAGTAGCTAGCACAGCCAAGGAAGAAATCATATGCCCATCTATGACATATGGTAGACAATGAGCATTGATAGATTTCTCAAGGATAACTCAAAAGCTTAACACACTGTATATGGAAAAATACTGCAGAAGACTGGAAAGAAAACAAACATTATTCTAAAAATCAGGTAAAGATCCATGTAGCTGAAAGTAATATACTGCACTAACAAGAAGAAAATTTAAATAGGGTGTGAAATTCTTCATAATATGCAAAATGTATGGACTCCAAAAAATAAGAGTTTAATAAGAATATGGATTCTAAGTAGTAAATCATATTGACAGAGATAGGCAATGAATGAGTAGTAAATTGAGTTAAAGTTGAGAGTTCAACGCTGATTCATTTTTGAGTTCAAAAATAAGAGAAATATATTTTAGAGGGTTTTTAAAAATTTAAACATATCTCTAGGAACATTAATAACAAGATGCCTACATTCTAAATCACTAACAAAGTGGGCAAAAATGTGTGAGGCTAAAGAAAAACCAAAGAATACAAAAAAACAAGAAAACATTTAAAAAACAATAGTATAAAATGAGATGACAGAAGACCAAACATATCACTTATTACACAACAGATGTGAACATATTAAATATGGTTACTGAAAGATTAAAGTCCAAGATAGGGTTAAAACTTGAAATTCCGCCTATGCTCTAGGACAAAGTTGGCACATCTGAGATTCTATCTTTCTTCTCTCTGGCACTGAAGTTTCTTTCTGCTACATCGTGCTGTTAGCTGAATATGCTAATGAAGTTTTTACATTTACATTAAGTCCACTCTATCTATACATGTAAATAGTATGTGCTAATTAAACAGTATAACCCATTTCCTGTGTCTTTGAGGGAGTAAATAGGTTTCTTTAAGATATAAACATCACGTACACTGATATATATACGTATGAAATATGTCACGAGTGTGTATATCTTGAAGTGTGTATCTCTTCATATACGTGAAGATATATGTATATAATGGAGACATGCGTATAAAATATATACTAAAATTTATGTCATAATCCTTTGGGTGGACCTCTAGTATCCTATTAGCAAAGGCATTAACATTACAATATGCTTTAAATGATTAAAGTGCAAAACCATTTCCAACAACTCTTTTATCCCTTTTTGTTCACAAATTGTGTTCCTTTGCCTATTGAATACATGTCTGTATTATCCATATTTAATATGTATAATCCCTAAAGCATCCATATTCACACATATATGATCAATTTAAAGAGTGCTATTACACAGTTATCCTTTAAAGCAATGATTCAGAGAACATGACTCTAAATTCACGGTTCTGGGCCTTTATTCATAATAGTACAATAACCAAAAGGAAGCATGTGTATTTATGTAGTTACTTCAATTCATCTGATTCCAAAAAGTTTTTGTAGAGCCTGATATATATAGAAGTAAACTTTTTGTAATTCAACATGAATAAGGGCTTCTGGAGCTTAATTTAGGAAAAAAGAAAGAGGTACTTAAATCTCATAAACATGCTTAACCACTGACAGCCCCGGATTTAGCAGAAAAACAAAGCCACTGCCGCCTTCTAATTTACAAGCATGGTACCGCTGAGGCTGATGGCAGTTACTCATCATTTAGAAATCCAATCTGATTTTATATTTTTATTTGAAGATTTTAAGAAAAAAAAAAAGATCCTGTAACCCAATCATGCCATAATCCAGGTGACATCTGTGCTAGGCAGAATCCTGTTGTTACTCTCCTGTCTAGCTGCTATTGCTGAGAATGACAAAGTAGGGAAATTACATTTTCCCATTATTATTTCCAGACACTTTCTGGCAATGGTTTGTTGACTCTAATAAACCTTCAGACAAAGCTGTCAGCAAAGGAAATGGCAAAAGGAGAGCAAGGAAAAGCCTCTTCAACAACAAATGCATCTAAAACCTCAGTACCAGCTTGTAGAGTTTCTGATAACATTTAACGTGAGTGCTTCAATATTTATTCTAACATTGTATTTGAATTCCAAGGAAAAAATGTATTCCATCAAGTCATATTACCAATGATTCCGATGAACACAAACATATTATGAAATTAAAGAATGAGATGTCTTACCCGCTATAGTGTTAAGGAACATCAAATATTCGAAGTTTGAAATTTCCCTTCTTTGCCAACGCTGAGTCATGTTGGAAGATTTATAAAGCTGCCGAGGAGTGGCCAGTGATATCCTCCTAGCAATTAAGCAAACGGTAACAAATGTAGTCTCTTTTAACTCCTGACTTTCATTTTTATTTTTTTTAAAGATTTTATTTATTTATTTATTTGACAGAGACACAGCGAGAGAGGGAACACAAGCAGGGGGAGTGGGAGAGGGAGAAGCAGTCTTCCCGCAGAGCAGGGAGCCCGATGCGGGGCTCGATCCCAGGACCCTGGGATCATGACCTGAGTGGAAGGCAGACGCTTAACGACTGAGCCACCCAGGTGCCCCTGCTGACTTTTAAAAATCAGTATTAACTAATACATTGGTTTAATATCAATCCATTTGAAATAACTTTTGGTTTATCCTTAGGGAAATTTAAAATACGTTTTAATTGTAGACATTAGCAATCTTTGAAAATTCTACTACAGAAAAGATACATTTAGTGACTCAGGATAAACCAATATGAAAACATCTATTTGTATAATATGGCTGCAAATGGGTATTTTACAAGTCAACAAGAGCAATAAAGATAAAACTACACTCAAGATAAGTAAAGTAGCTTTAAAACAATAGAGCAAATCTTTTCCATGCTAATAAGCTAAGTAGGTTTAGGTAGTCAGGTACCATCTTGCAAGCATTTGACTGAAACTTCACATAATAATGGCGGCCACTGACCCTTCCACCCCTGCCCCCACAGAGTGTGCATCTGTGTACAGCCTCTACCCACACCACACATATCCCTCTCATGATATAAAAAAACAAGCTGGGAATTTGAAAACATATGAATTCAGAAGAAGGGACACGGGAATAGCTTAAGGGAATAAAATCAGGACCTTTTGACGTTCATTGTTTATCTAAGAAATAATGGAAGTAAGCTGTATTTTAAAAGTATGATAAAGCTACTGAGTTTCTGGAATGATCATTACCTAAGACAAAGGTTCCTAAACTTTTTCAATACATGCTACCCTTAGTGTGTCAGGAATTTTTCATGTCGTCCCTAGGCCAAAAGAAATACCTAACAGTTCTGTTTATTTAGTTAGAGCTAAATAACACTTAAGTCTTAACAACTTAGTAGCTGTCTGAAAATACTCCTAAATTGAAAGAAAAACAGTATTTTTACTTCATTCTTAAATAACCACGATTACTTACTAAAGGGATGTGTGCACCTGCTGGACATGGCTGAGCTTCTTAAGCCTCGGAAGTCACATCTGACCCCACCATCTACATCTCCTATTCCATACTGAGTTTCATGCAGCTCTTGTTTCTTATCATAGCAACTGCCCAAAACTAGTTCCACAAAGCTAAGACGTCACTGAAAAGAATGCAGTGCTATCTAATGTTGAAACGTAGAACTAACTTGAACAATAGTCTGTGTGTTGGCAGATGTTGCTCTGTTTCCCTAAAAGGATGAATTGCCTTGCAGCAACCTGTGAGTTCACTGTGGCATCCCAGGGTTCCTTGACACTCAGTTTGGGAACTGAAAACTTAAGACTACTTCTGTTTCATTTCAAATTTTTCTATTCACATGGAATCTTAGTAGGTACTGTTCTTGTACATAGTAGGAGCTAAAATATGTTTAGTTGAGGAAAAGGAGGGAGGGAGGAAGGATGGAAAGGAACTTGTTATCTCAAATTCAAATGTGAATTAAGAGTTTCAGAATAATTAGGTGTAACTCAATGTTTAAAATATTGACATTTTTGAAGAACTTTCCTAGCAACATATATTTGACTTGTACTGACTCCAAAGGAACCATATGAGTCTAATGATTCACTTCAGTGCAATGGTAAATGGTATAGATGTTTCATACTTCAATTCATGGAACGCTACATCAAAAACTAATGATGTAATGTATGGTGATTAACATAACATAATAAAATAAAAAAATGTTCAAGTACAATTCTAAAATTCAGTACATTCCTCAATTAATTTGTAATATGATTTTCACAGTGCTTCCAGATTTTGATCCATACTGGTACCAAGATTCAAAATCTTCCCAGCTATTTTATGTTATAAACTTTAGCCCTGACCCTGACATTGTCATGGCAACATGCTAGTCTCTGAATTATCAAGGAATTAATAAACTATGCTTAGTCCAATTTTCATTGTGCTACTATTATAATCATAGGCCTGGTCTAATTTGCACAGTATTACCATTATAATCATATTTTCACTATTCTGACTAAAATTTTTACCTGTGGCATGCTCAGATAAGTCTGCTTAAAGCAATGTATATAATAAAGTTTTGAATTCCTTTGTTGACATTTTGAACCCAAACAATTTAAGAAGAAAATTGCTGATCTGGAAATAATTCTGACCATCAAAAACACTCCCAGATCAAAAATCAAACAAATCCTACTAAGTATAAATAATGGAAATCATGGGAGAAAGTTACTAAATCACTCTTAGAGTATGCGATGGTGAAGAAAAATGTGGCCATGGGAAATGAATTGAGAGAAGCCGATTATAAGCAGGTCCAGGGAAAGGATAATTTTTTCCTGTTTACTGCTCCGTCTTTCCCACTAAAACTCATTGAGAGCAGGAACCTTGTTTTACTTACTGTTACATGCTTAGCATTTAGCAGTGCTTATTATATATTGGGTCTTGGTAAGTACATACTACATGACTTGAATTACTGGTCACCCTAAAAGAAAAAAAATGGCTGAAGAGAGAGGTGATGATAAAAAATTAAATAATTCAATCACATGAAGAAGAAAAAAATGGGGAACAGTAAATCAATAGGGCTTTCTAAAATAACCCATAACAACTTTAGATAATAGAATGAGGATGGTTGGTATGTATTTGGACTATAGTAGGTTGTTTTTAGAAGTAGGAGTTAAGGTGAAGACAAAATTGCCCTCTGAGAATAAAAACTATTAAGTACCATAACAAAAGGTGACCATTTAAAATCACCAACGCTATGGATATAACCAGGTGTATCCTTAGTAAGCAAAGAATCTGATTAAATCCAAAATTAATTGATCGTACTATCTGAATAAAAAAATACATTAACCAAACACTGATAATCAACATGGAATCTAGAATATGGGCATGTTTTTGCAAGTATTTTTCCATCACTGTGCAGGGGCAAGGTGTTGATCTTGTGACCAATGTGGGAAACTGTGACAGATGACACAGGATAGAAATTGAGAGTGAGCTATGATCTTGGGAAAGATAAGTTACTTATCTAAATCAAAATTTTCTTCTCTGTAAAATGGGATAAGAGTCACATTGTTTTAGGAATGTGGTTCTCTTAAGAATTAAGGGCAGGGAGCTCCATTTTGCCATGAGAGGACACAGGGAGAAAATGCCTATCTGTGAATCAGGAAGCAGGTTGTAGTCAGACCCCAAATTTGCTGGCATCTTGATCTTAGACTTCCTAGCCTCCAGAATCTCAAGAAATTAGTTTTTATTTGTTTGTAAGCCAAAAATCAATCAATCAATCAATCAATCAAGGAAATAATGCTTATGAACCAAAACAAAGTATAGTCCCTGGCACAGGGGATGTTCTTAGTAAATGAGAGCTATGGATACTAATTAATTAAAAAGGCATTCACTAGGCTATGCTGGCTTAATGGATATATTCCTTTCGTTCTAAAAGGACAAAGCAACAATCTGATTTGTAATGTGATCTCTTTGGTGGGCTTGCCCAAGAAGTGGCTTAAATGATATGTGAAGTTAATTATTCCAGCAGCCTGGAATTTGGTAAATTTTTTTTTGTTCATAAATCTTTTTTTTTTTTAAAGATTTTATTTATTTATTTGAGAGAGAGAGAATGAGAGACAGAGAGCATGAGAGGGAAGAGGGTCAGAGGGAGAAGCAGACCCCCCGCTGAGCAGGGAGCCCGATGTGGGACTTGATCCCGGGACTCCAAGATCATGACCTGAGCTGAAGGCAGTCGCTTAACCAACTGAGCCACCCAGGCGCCCTTTTTGTTTATAAATCTTATGGATTTAGCTTAGAGTAAGTTCCCTAGAGTTTGATAAACTCTGCTTAAACTGATAAAACTCAATGTCAAGAAAACAAAGCAGAGAATGAAGCCCTTGGTGCTGGAAGGTTTCCACTGGTAGGATCCAGACATTGTCCCTTCTCTTTGACAATTCTCTAAATATAACAGGACCTTACCTACCACATACACATGTGTTTCTGGGAGCAGGTGCATACATCTCTTTACCTACCCTCCTATGCACCTCCCTACTTATCTATATCTGTGTGTACGTGTTGCATATATTTGCATACTAGGTATGTATGTGTTTATAGTTTACAAAATGTCTTCACTTTATGATCTCAAGACATTCATAAAACATCTCTTTTCGGAGATACTGTCTCCATTTTACAGCAGATGGAAGTGTCATTCCTCTTGCCCAGTGTTCTTCATTCTTTCCACTAATATGTATTGAGTTCCTACTAAGTACCAGGCTCTGTTACTGTTACCCAGCCAGTAAGTGGCAGGTCTAAACCTAGATTCAGTGTTTCTCCTACCCCCATCTGCTGCTTCCAAGGCTATATATCACAGGAAATACGTAAAACTGGACTTCTGAGAATATCATTAGGAAACTAAGAATGAGTTGACCCTTTGGTGGGGGACAAAGGACCAGGGGGCTTTAAGATAGAATGGCTGTTTGGAGCAAGCAAACCCCAAACTATTAAACATCTATTTTGTTTCCAGTTTTTCTATCAAGAAGGATAATCTTCCAACAGCCAAAGGGAGACCAAAGGTGGTTAAAAGGGAAATAATACTCTTAAGAGATAAGGGAGAGAGTACAAGAGCTTCTGGTTGTTTTAAATGCACCCAGGTCCAGACAAGTCCCAAAAGCACTGAAGGAACTTACACACATCGTTGAGAAACCCCTATTGGTAATCTCTGAAGAATCATGATCATTGAGAAAGATGTCAGGAGGCACAAGATCATTTTTAAAAAAGGAAAAAGTGAAACCTATTTGTCAGTTCTTAATGTCAATTCCTGGAAAAATTCTTGCACTGACGATTAAACAGTTTGTAAGCACTTGGGAAAGGAAGCAGTGATTACATGAGTCATCTCTGATTCAGTAAGAGCAAGTCTTGCAAAACTAACCTCATTTTCTTTTTTTTTTTGATAGATTAAATACATTTTTCCTTTGACCTGTATTCTACAGAAGTACTTCTTCATTATCCACTAATATCTTAATTTAATCTTGTCATTCTACTAGGAAACAGCCTGAGCATGTACATACATGTCAGTGAACTGGTCTTACACTGTAAGCTTAATACAAGAGCTGATGCACTGAGATGCAAGGTAACTCCAGCTGAGTAGCACCTAAAAAGCACCTCGGCAATTAGGCACTGTGCTAGGTGATGTAGATGAAAAGATAAATAAGACGCAGCCCCTGTCTTTTAAATGTCGGTAGCCTATTTAAGGGAAGATGGACAAAGATTAGTTTTTCTTTCTCTCCATGCAGGGCTCTGCAGTAATTCCCACGGACACAGTGGACCATGCAGAAGTTACTGTTGTTTGTCTATCCAAAGCTGGTTTCTTTCTTTCTTGCCACCAGGAAACCTATTTTGTTCAAGTAGGAGGTGGCAAGGAGTCCAGAGGTATAGTTTACCCTGAGTCTCACCCAGAGGATGACAGGTCTAAGCCAGTCAACTCACTCCGCTTTGGCAGTGATTGTTTTAAGGACAGGAAGGTGACCCCATTCAGGCTGAAGGGACCTGAGATAAAGACTGCGGGAGGCAGCTGACAAATATATTCTTTCCTAAAACACAGAAGCTTGATGAGAAATACTTTGTGTCTTTTTCCCACCTAATGCAGTTGGTGAAACTGTGGTGTCTGGAGCACTAGTAGTGATTTTGTGAACCTGAGGTCAACTGAGGGTCCTGACATCACTGAACCTCTGAGCCAGTACTGGCAACTCCTTAACTCCAGACCTTTTATAAAATAAGACTCAAACAGCAAAACACCCTTTTGTTTAAGCCACTTTTAGACAGGTGATTCAGTTACTTGGAGCCAAAAACTGACCAACTAAATTTAGTGATACACATATTACTGAATCTGTTATCTATTAGAGCAGTATCTTTCAATACAATAAGATTTTAAATGATATTTTAAAAATAATAGGATGAAAGATTTAGGAAATGGTTAAAACCACATCATCATTCACGACTACTAATCTCAATAAATTCGAAGGGTTTTATCATTTTCATGAAGAAGCATCTATACATGGCATTTACAAAAACAACTTATATGTGACTAAAGAACAATTAATCACAAATATCATGAAGCTTTTGGCATGTTTTTGTAAGATCTTAAGCAAAAATGTCTTAATTATGTGCTAGCTATGATATGCAATCAACTTTTTTATTTCCTCATTTATATATGTGTTAAAGAAAACTATACACAAACTATTCTGTCATTTTTAAAACAGCTGTTTCCATAACTTCTTTCCCTACAAATGGCTTGCAGAGAAAGAAAATTCCTTGGTTCTCAAAATAATTATAATGGTATAACCTTATTTATATTTCTGTCATATTGAGATTAAAATATGTTAACAAACCATAGATAATGTGTAATATGATATAATTACCTGGCTTGTGGTAAACCATAGCTGGTCCCTACTCCAACCCGAGGCAAGCTATAGACAACTTTTTTTACCGTTGCTTGATCAGGGAAATTAAACATAACCGAGGCTGTGGTAAGAAGAAAAAACATGATTTAGAAAACCACAGGAGTACTAACCATCCATTTTGGAAATCATTTTCAAGTGCCTATCATGATTCATTTGTAAAGGTAATTAATCTTCGTGGAAAATCAGCTTTCTGTGTAACTTTATCCATGAGAAATCTAGGATTAACATTTTCAAGCAAATTAATTTTTATTTTTATTTTTGTTTTAGTGAGGGCATATCAAAGAGAGAAATACAGCAGGGAAAAATGAAGACTGTATCACACCATGTAAATAAATAACATGCAAATATGAGTACATTTCCTCTCCAAATATTTAAGGGGCCTTACTTCGGTTTGCCATAAATACTTCCAAAGCAGTGTTTTGTAGAAGATAACGTCTTGAAAACACAGCTCGTATCTCGCTGAACATCCATTTTCCATGAAGTCCTTCAGTGTATGCAAGAACCTAAAATAAACAGTTCAAAGGGAAGTGTCAATCAGTAAAATGTGTTTCTAAGACTCAGTCTGACAATATTTTAGACAGTGCTGTATAAAAGTCAGTAAATTAGGGGTTATCTTCCTGAATTAATGATAGATCACAACAATTATTTGATTCTGTACACAGTATTTGTGAAATTTCTACCTTTCTAAATTTTCTTAGTTGACTCATGAAGAAATGAAGTAGCAGAAAAATTGCATGTCCAAAGTGACCCTGTGACTTAAAACAGAAAATACAGTTTTTTGGTCTTGTATCTAATTAGTTGGACAAGGTAACCTGACATATGCTGTTGGTTCTTTTCCAGCATTCCTTTTCTTCCTTCTTTCTAGCTTAACGGAAGCCCAGTTAGCCCCAGTGTCCATGTGGTCAACACCAGGCAGTGGATCAAGATTGGTCTAAGGCAGGGGTAGCAAATATTTTTGGTAAAAGGAAAAATAGCAAATATTTTTAGACTTTAAAGGCAACATGGTCCCTATCACAACTACTCATCTTTGCCATAATAGAGTGAAAGCAGTCAAAGACAATGCATAAATGAATGGGTATGGCTGTGTTCCAATAAAACTTTATTTATAACAACAGAGGTGGCCTAAATTTGGTCCTGGGGCCAAGGTGGCTGATCCATAGTCTAAGTCAATCATAGCAAAGGTATTCCTTGCTTTCTCAAATTCCCTTGAAACTAGGAGTGAGGACATTTGACCCAAAACTGGCTAAGGAGAACAAAACCAGAGTCAGTTGGGGATGGATCAGCTGGTAAAATGAGGTATTCGTAGCTGGCACACTCCTTTTTCCTTCTTTCTTGGGTGGAGATGTAATGGCAGAACCATAGCAGCAGCTGTATAACCATAAGAGGAAGGCCAAGGGAATGGCAGCGAGGCTGGCCCGAATACTGAGTTAGTGAGACGAGCCCAGCAACAGCCATATCTGCACTTCCTGTTACATGATACAGGTTAAGTCCCTATTTGATAAAGGCACTGCAGTCAAATCTGCGACCAATGCAGTCCCTCCTGATACACCAATGTATATTCACAATACAAAACACACTTCTACTTGCATTACTATACTCTATATGATCTACTACATTTATATTTGCTTTGGTGAAATAAAAACTGGTTGAATTTTCCATGCATGATATTCCTTAAGCTTTGTAAACAAGTTATGAATTTCCTTTTTACATTTCTTTTCTCTAGGGAAAAAAATAGGATCCTTTAGTCTTGTGTATTTTGAAAATTCCATTTTCTAACTCCTTAATTCAGTTTTTGTCTTTCCCTAGATGCTAGAAAGTTTTTGGAGGCAGTCAGACATCTATTTAAATCCTGAAACGTTTTGGAGCCAGTCAGACTCCTATTGAAATCTTGGCTCTGCTATGTAGCAGTTATAGGAGCTTGGAAAAATTATTTAACTCCATCTGATTTTCATCATCTGAAAAACAGTGATAATAATACTATTACTGGTTAGTCTAAGCAGAGACAATGGACCTTAAGTTCATGGCCTTAGGGATTATTTAAGTCCTGTTTATAAGTTTATATGTCTTTATTGTTGAGCATAAAGTGACAACTGTTGTTTTGACTTCTAAATGTAAAACTATACATTTCACAAAAGGGTTATAGTGACTTGCCACAATTTATATCAATAAATTCTTAGTTTGGTGCAACGTTCTCCAGACTTGCATTTCATAGACCAGCATAATTTGTTTTTAATGGAAAGAGTACTGATACAAGATCGATAACTTTTTTGTCAAGTCGGGAACATTCTGAGACAAATAAAACAGCCAAAACAACAAAAACAATCTTCCACATGACCATTATTTCACTAAAAAATAAAACTATTAAGGTCATTTGAAAACCCAAACAGTACAATGAGTATCATCTCAGAAAAAAGGAGATATCTTTTCATGAAAGCTGTGTTGGTACCCTTCTAGGAAAGCCGTTGTGCCAGGAGGATGGAGAAAAAGAGACAGACAGACACACACACGCATGCACACGCACTAGCACACACACCTCACTCACATGTTTACTTATTTTTCTCTTTGGGAATGATGTGACGCATATTTGGTCAAGTACTCCTCCCCGTTATTTTACTTCTAGTAGGCCAGTAGTTCACAAACACATAGGAGTTACTCTGACTCCTGAAGTGCTCCGTGTAAGACGGTCTCACCAGCTTAACGGGTTCTCACTTGATTCTTTTCCAGGCCCAAGTTCACCCTTAATTGCTTGTTCTGTGAAAATGAATCTGTACCCTTTAGTTTTGCTTTGCTAACTAGCCTGACGTTAAGCTTTGTCCGGAAAAGACTCTGAAGAGACACTGCCGGCTGGAGGAAGGGGTCTTCCTTCCTGGTGCTGGTGGGCTCACTCAACAGCTTCCTGCAGAACCTGGGGCTCCTCCAGGGCCCGGCCCCTGCAGTGTGTGATGGACAACAGCACCCAGTGACTCGAAGGTTTTTCTAGAACTTCCCTCTGCCCCAGGCAGTTTTGTAGCAGAGGGCCTCTGGTGAGAACCCCGCCCATGAACATTTTCAAAGACTCCCTAGAGGGTAGATTTCTGGAAAGTTCTAGAGGACAGAGCTCCAGCAAGTACCTCCAGCAGAGCACCAGATGTGCCTTCTCCACCCTTCAGTGAGCTACAGCTCAGCCTTCCCCAGTGAGGCCTGGGGGGGCCTCTTCCTGGGGTTCAGTGACAGCTCTGCGGGTCAAGGCTGCTCCTTTCCAATGCTCTTCCTATACCTTAGAGTTCTTTTTGTTTCCTACTAACCATTCCCTGTTACTCTAATCTCCTGGTATAATTTATGTTATAATTATTCATATTACACTTGCCCTGTTTAAGTTGCTATGTGGTTTTTCACTCCCGATGGGTCCACAGTGATAGACAAACTCACTCAGTTCTCCCTCCAGCTGGGGCCACGAGGGGCCTCAGGCGCCCTTAGGAGCAAGAAAATAAGGAAACCGAGATAATCAGAGGAACTCAGTAAAGCCTGGAGGCAAGGAGTAAGAGGAGAGAGAGAGAATAAAACTAAATGAAAATTATTTTGCAAGTAGCTAGCAAACAGTTCAGGAAGCAAATTCCAAAAGACAGATCCAAAGGTACAAAGCTATTTTGAGCAAGGGCAGTATCATCTGCGTAAGTGTACAGCCTTTACCAAAGGGGCTGTGGGAAGGAAAATTATTTATATACATAACTACTTACAACTTTATAAAAAAGTCTTCCTAATTACTTTATAGTAAACTTTGTTATATTTAAGCTTTGAAATCCTTAATGACGGGTTGATAAAAGATAATGCTCTAAACTGGTCATAATTCCCTGCCAGGAAATCCACTAGACCCTAGAATCCTCTTCTTTTTTTATAACAAACCACACCTTCTCTCCCTTCTCATTCCCTTCAAAATTGCATATGCAATAAAACTCTCCTAAAATATTTTACTTAAACATTTTTTATATCCCCTCTTGAGAAGTGCCTTTCCTGGCATCTAGTGTGTAGAATTACCAAAACTAATCTCTGTCTCTTCTATTGTATCACTTTATTTTAATTCTGGGCATGGAACTTATTTATTCTTTTGTTTCTTTTTTCTCTGTCCTCTCCCTCTGAGGTGAGTATTATGAGAACAGGACCTTGTCTGTCGCATTTACTTCTCAAAACACAGTGCCTAGAACAGTGCCTGGTGTATATGTGCTCTGTACACATTTGTTTGTTGAATAAATCACTAAGAGAAGTGGACAGAGATAATATATATGGGGAAGGCTACAAGAAATCTTACAAGGGGTGGGCATCTCCGACTCCTTGGCTGAACTGGAAAAAGCTTTCTAGTTTGGCCCTCAGATGTCTCATGTTTACTATCTTAATGGTGGGGCCCACCAGACATCTCTAAAGTCATCCCTGACTTTAGACTGAATTAAGTCCCTAAAAAACGAAATAGGATAACTGGTTTCTCTTCTGTGGTAGTCTAATTTTCACCCTTGGGGAACTCTAGACTCGGGTTATACCCCATCCTAAAAGATCACACTCCCCTCACAGAAAGGAGTCCTTCATGCTAGAGGGGTTAGGGAAGGTCTTTAGGCTGCTCTATTTTGAATTTAGCTTATAGACTGACATCTCTCATTTAAAAAAATGTGTACTGAGGTGTGTCACAGAATATCATCTGGCACCCCTCTTGAGCATCAGTTTTATTTCTGGTAAGTAACTGAAAATGTTTTGTAATAAATTCATAGACAGGATGGAAAATAAAATGTAAATGATGAACTATTGAGATAAAACACTGGCAATCAGGTAAGTTTTGTGATTGCCATGGGCACCCTTAGCTTACACCACAATCTCCTTTACTCTCCCCGGCTCGTGGGCAATGAGAAAGCCTCAACACTCAGTGGAGGGTATTCCAGTACGACTTTACAACACACACTGGGCAGTACATGGAGGCCGTGGTAGAAGGTTCTGGGACTGGAGGCAGAATGACCCATTAGGATACCACTTCAAGGCAAATGATGAGGGGTTTAATCAATTTTACGTATTTCAGAAATGTAAAGAAATATATCATTTATAGTTGGTTAAATATTGAGTTTATGGCACGTTTCTATAAAAATCTGGGCCTCAAGCCCAGGTCTGAAATATGACCTGATACTATAAAACTGACTGTATTTTATTTATACTTTTACTAGTTACATTATGTTCCATAAGTTTCAGCACCTACCATAATAACTTTTATTTTAAAAGATTTTATTTATCTATTTGAGAGAGAGAGAATGAGAGAGAGAGAGTACGAGAGGGAAGAGGGTCAGAGGGAGAAGCAGACTCCCTGCTGAGCAGGGAGCCCGATGTGGGACTCCATCCCGGGACTCCGGGATCATGACCTGAGCCGAAGGCAGTCGCTCAACCAACTGAGCCACCCAGGTGCCCCATAAAAACTCTTGAAGTTTGTTTTTCATCACAGCCCCCGATGTTTTCCTATATCATGGATGTACTTTCATCTGTGTTTGAGGTT